TTTTTTGGGACAAAAACTCCAATCTATTCGTGGGGAGCATCACGTGCTGAGAACCGGGCTCAGCGTCGCTTTGAAATACAACTGAGAATATGTAACATGAAGATTTGAGATACTGGGGCCATTACCCGGCTTTGGCTAAGAAAAATTTGAGTTACTTAACAAGTTACTACGTCAGACTTCAGAAAATTTCAGAAACCGACTCAACCCCCCCCATGAATCCTCTTTACCACACTCCGGCAAGACTTACTGCAGCAGAGCCACAGCCACCATCTCCGCTACTGCTGTGCCCTATTTCCGTCCTACGAGCTAGCTCCTTTACTAGTAGGACGCTTGTTATCCAACCATCTACTTGTCCCCCTCGCCTCTTTGAGAGAAAAAGCAAGATGTGCACGATTCAGGAAAAAAACTCAGACACCCCCAGTCCATCCCCTATCCCCACGCCGGCAAGACTTACTACAGCAGAGCCACCATCTCCGCTGCTGCTGTACCCTATTCCCATCCTACCAGCAAGCCCCTTCACTAGTAGGTCGCATAATATCCCACCATCTCCTCCTCCCACTCACCTCTTTTTTTGAACTACAAAAGAAGTTCAGGAAAAATTAAGAAGACTAGGAATAATTGCTGACCTATTAGAAATATCTGGAGAGGCTTGGAAAACTATATGATCAGGGGGTCAAAACTAAAACAACCTACTATCTAAAATTCCCCCTCAACAGACGGAAAGTCTGCCCAGGCTTTCAGTCCTCGTCCCAGAACTCACTTGATCTCATACCCCCTTCCATGCTAGGGTAACAGGGCACCGCAACCTTCCCAAGCGCTGACCATGCTAGTTCTGACGGACAGGAAGTGCCTTCCTCCCTCGACACTTCACATAACGGCAAGCCCCTCACACAGGTTACAGGGTTAATACCCCGGCACCCGCTACGTCGAACGAACTGGTTATGCCTTCCACCCTCAGCATAACTCCACAAGCCTCAAGCTCCCCCTAGGTCACAGAGCAACACTCCAGCACTGGCTTGCGTCGTCCCAGCTTCGTTCTTTTGACCTACTTGCCAAACAGTCATTCCTCTATTGACAGCCACCTAAACTAGATTCCATCCTCCGGTTCTAACCCCACCCCCGTCTACCCTCACAAAACGAGAGGAAGGGAGGGAAATACCCCTCATCCTGTGGCGGTTTCGGTGTCTATTCGAAGCTCAAATACTCGTGAAGACTCACAAAAAATTCCGGAGATTACTCCTCCCTCAAAAAACGTCCCTCTGTCCTTACACTGCCTCCGCCGGAAGATGCCCTCTCACCACACCGGCCCCAGTTCAGAACAGCCCCCTAAACGGTCATTCCAACTCCCTCAACAGCATTCAATTCCCCCAGAGTA